GATACATCAAGCCTAGGTTCGAAATTTATGTAAAAAAGGGCCTACGGCCAGAGGTTGTTTAAAAACTAAAAAATTATATGCAAAGGTTCTGACCATGCAAAAAGTAAAATGTGATTGACGGGATATGCTACTCGTTTTGGTGCCGATGTTTTTCTCTTCCACTCAAGCTGAGAATGATACTATTGACCCAACTCCATGCCACCCGTCTAAGGCGCAGGGGAAGGAAGATGTCGTTAAGTACTTCTGAGAAGTAACAGGTTTCTTTTTTCAGTTAAAGATCCTGTCTCAGCAAAACCTGGCAAACAGATGACAGGACGTAACATCTGAGCAAAGAAAGGAATGAAATACAGGCGAATGAAATCATCCACAAGAGATCAGACTTTGAAAATTTGGGACTGCGCCAATGAAAAAATCATTCGGAAAGAACAGATATTTTGAGGAAAATTAAAAAAAAAAAATTAAAATGGCCTATATTTCCAAGGAACTGAAGAATGATATACATGAAGTGCTCGTAAATTCGATACCCTGTAGCGTGTAGCCCTTTCAGGAACGCAGAAATGCGTTGCTGAGAAGTGAATCGCTCGGTGACCAGTGCCGGAAGCAATGCGTTCTCGGAGATACGTGTACTCTCGTTGTAGCCCGGCTGAATGATAATGCCCATATAGGCCAGCGCCAGGATTTCACTGAGGAAGCACACCAGACGCCATTTGGAGACCAACTTTGCAACGATAATTGGTGGCTTGCCGATCGATTCAGACAATGATCGCATTATCAGCAACTACCTGAAATGACCAAAATTTACAGTGATAAAGGAGGCGCAGTTCACACAAATTTCAGCACGAATATGCACCCTCCAGCAGATGCCCCAGAGAACTTTGAGACTACTGTACTGACGATTCCCACTCCTATCCGCATGCATAGTCCGGTATGTTTACAGCTAAGGGATGAAACACCGAGACTGCGTCATAAAATGTCTTCATACACATGACATTCAAGTGAAATCCTTCCACTCTTCTATTTCACTGTAATCGTTCACAGCAAAATCCTAAGCGATTCGCTCAAATATAAGTGTATCCTTAAATCAATGTCAACTCGTTGTATCCGCTTGATTTTCACTAGACTTTTAAGTCAATTAATAGGCACTGCATATTACTGAGTGATAATTGCGAGGAAGCAAACGACCGTTCTGGTGACCCTTAGACAGGCGGCTCACATACATCACGCAACCCACACCCTTAGTTTGTTTTCGGATTGACCGTATTTTGTACCTATGCAATGCAAGAAACGCATACCGACGAGGGGTTTTCTGTGTGTGTGTGTGTGT